AAATACTGTACAGAGGGCTGGGAAGGTGGCTCAGTGGTAGAGCGCTTGCCTTGCATGCCTGAGGCCCTGGGTTTGATTCCTCAGCACCACATAGGCAAAAAAGAAAAAAAGCCAGAAGTGGCGCTATGACTCAAGTGGTAGAGCGCTAGCCTTGAGCTGAAGAGCTGAGGGACAGTGCCCAGGCCGACTTCAGGCCCCACGACCGGACCCCCCCCCAAAAAAAAAAATACTGTGCAGAGTGGTTACAGTTACAGGAGTAGGGCAATGAGTAAATTTCCTATCGAGCATTGTTACCTCCTCCTTTGTTTTCCCCCATCCATCCCTTCCCTTCCCATATACTTCTACTTTTATGGTAAAAGATTTTGCAAGAATAGGGTCAGCTATTTTAGCATCAATTATAGGCAGTGCTGAATATCAAACCCATGGCCTAACACATACTAGGCAAATGGCTATACTTATAGCCTTAATCTTAATTCAATGTTAAAAAAAATAATTTCACATAGCTCAGATGAAATTTTTCTAGTGAATATAACATGTTTTTGTCTTTCTGTAATAAAGTAAAAGCCCAGAGTTCAAGCCCCACGACCAATTAAAAAAAAAAGAAAATAAATCCCTAATAGAAAATATATGAGATGATTCTTTTCTTTTTCCTTCCTTTCTACCTTCCTCCTTCCTTTTCTCTCCCTTCTAATACTTACCTCCCTCTCTTCTTTTCTCTCTTTGGAACTGGACCTTAAAAATCACAGCCTTTCATTTGCTAGGAAGGTGTTTACCCCTTGAGTTATGCCTCTAGCCCTTTTTTGCTTTAGTTATTTTTTAGTTAAGAGACCAGTTTTTGCCTGGGGTCAGGCTCACATAGCTATGATCACAAATGCATGCTTCCATGTCCAGCTTATTGAGATGGGATCTTCCTAGCTCTTTGCTAGGGCTGGTCTTGAACTGAGATCCTCCTGATATCCATTCCCTAAAAGCTGGGATTATAGGGATGAACTACCAAGTCTAGCAAGTTTTAGTCTCTCTTTTTTTTGGTCAGTCGTGGGGCTTGAACTCTGGGCTTGGACACTGTCCCTGTGCTCTTCAGTTCAAGGCAAGCCCTCTACCACTGAAGCCACAGAGTCAATTCCAGTTTTCTATTGGTTTATTGGAGATAAAGAGTCTTATGGACTTTCTTGCCTGGGCTGGCTTTGAACCTTGATCCTCAGATCTCAGCCTCCTGAGTAGTTAGAATTACAGGCATGAGCCACTGATGCCTGGCTAAGTTTTAGTCTCTTTAAAAGTCTTGTTCCTATTGAAGCTTTTTCATAGGACAGAAGCTAAATTACTGAACATCTTGTGATATAATTTATTTCAATGAATATAAATCCTTGGCTGTAATTAATAAACTTAGCAAATAAGGAAATGGAGGCAGTATAGATGAGACAATGAAAAAAACCTACTAGAAGGGCCGCACAAAGGAATTAAAACAGACCTGAGGGGCTGAGGAGGAACTGTGAAAAATCAGAGCATCATTTCTTCTTTCCTCACCCTCCCTTTCCTTTAAGGCTGTTACAAAAGTGTCCCAGAATAGGAAAAAAGTCTTTCAGATGTTGAATAGAGGCAGAAGATAAAAATGCAGCTTGCACAAATGATAGCTCTAGTTATATCTATAGTCCCAGTATTTGGGGAAAGTCAAAATTCCATGTTTTTGAATAATAGATCCATTTAGATATGTTTTGGGTAACATACCCATCCTAAACCTTTATGCTTAGAAACTCAGTAAGGTGATTAGGGATTTCTTTTTTTTTTTTTTTT